TTTGTATTATATCTCAAGCTGTAGGATTCTAACCTACTTTATTATAAACTTGACTTACTGCAGTATTTGATCCTTATTTATATCAAAGGAGAATTTGGGTGGTGTTTTATGCCAAAGCAGACCAGAGGTTTGAATATAGTACTGGTAGTTTTCAACTTACAACCATTCACTCAATGACTGTTCGAAGTTACATTGTACTGAAAACATAACTAACCCTTTCTTCACATTACGACTGTTGTAGCATGCTCATGGTCATGTGATCAAAATTCAGGTGCTTGGCCTTGGCATATATTTAACATAGTTACTGTGTCCTGGGATCATGCGATCCCCTTTTGCGGTCCTCTGACAAACAAAGTCAGTGGGGAAGCAAGATTCACTTAATATGTTACTGTGGCAAGAAAGGTCACAAAATGAGGTAAAACAAACACACACATTTAACTCTTGATAAGTCAAGGACTACAAGGACAAACGTACTTGGAGAGAGCATTGAGATTTAAACCCACGGGTGCTCTGTTTGGCATTCATGCAATGTTGTAATGGGCCCCACCATTTTAAGGTTCAGCTAACTATCTCACAGAGAACTAGTTTGGTTTGGGGGTTTAAAAGCACCAAGGTAGAAACAGAATACTGAGTTCTAGTTCTCTCTTGCATAAGCCAGTGAATGACTTTGAGTCAATCACTCACTCACAATACCAAGAAGAGAGCAAGGGCAAACTATTCCTAAAAATCTTGCCAGAAAAGTGCAGGGACTTGTCCAGGTAGTTGCCAGGAGTCAACACTGACTTGAAAACACCAAAACAACAAACAAAACCCAACTATCTAAAGTACTCTGAAAACATGGCTTTCCATGTTGTGAAGCAGAAGCGAGTGGTACAACTCTGAACTGATAACACCATGCAAACATAAAACTAATAATTTTGTCTTGAACTATATAGATTGAAAAATTACACTATTGTGCCTGGGCTGTAAATGTTTATTTCATATGACATTTAGAAGTGTCTTTAATTTGGGAGAAACTTTTAGATAGTACTTAATGAAGCAAATAAAGAGTGGGTTGTTTAGTAGTGATTATTAAAAATTTGTAAAATTGCAACTGGTAACAAAAAAACAACTTTGTTCAATATAACCTATTTCAGGTGTTTGGAGAGGAAGGTTTAACTATAAATCTGGAAGATGTTCAGCCTCATGACTTTGGTAAAGTTGGAGAAGTCATTGTAACCAAAGATGACTGCTTATTGCTTAAAGGAAAAGGTGATAAGACTCAGATTGAAAAACGGATTCAAGAAATAATTGAACAACTGGAAACGACCACAAGTGAATATGAAAAGGAGAAGCTAAACGAGCGCCTGGCTAAGCTTTCTGATGGAGTAGCTGTATTAAAAGTAGGTATACTGTGGGTTTTCTGTCTGTAAAATCAATTTAACATGTCTTTTTATGTTGATTTGGCCTACTTAGTTTTCTTAGCTGGGGACATGCAAATTTAATAAATCAATAGAAGGTACCGTGTTTCTCCAACAATACGCCCCCCCCCCAATAGGAAGTCCCAGCATGTTTTCTAGGCAAAAAATGAAATTAAGCCCCTCCCCCTAAATTTAGACATATTTTAAAACATGCAAAATGGGGGGGAACTTGCCATTAGAAGTGCCCCGCGGGCAGCCACACCTTGCCACCAGCTGCTCCTAACGGCGGAGCATGGAGGGCTCCTTACCCCCACCAAGAGCCTTTGCTACAGACCCAGGTATGGTGCTGGTTACAGGCTGGGTTAACGGGCGGCTGCGATGTCCGCCAGCAGTGTTTCAGCCACTTCTCGGGCCTCTAGCTTCCATGGTTCCTGCCGGCGCAGGTGCCTCTCTCACCAGCGCCATCTTTAACAACAGTGTCTGAGTCGCTCCTGTTCCCCCCCCCCCCCCGGTCCCTGCAACAACAGGGGGGAAAAGCATTTTGAGGTACCTGGGAGCGCCACGCGGTGTGTTTTGGTTTAATCCCAAGCGGCTGGTTGGGTGTGAGAAGAACCAAGCGTCTCCACTGCTGCCCTTGGTGCTCCAGCCTCGGGCTCTGCAAGTTTCCAAAAGTCCTGGTGTGCAACCCATTCCTGCATTCCAAGCACGCCCAGGCCGAGCTGCAGCTGTCCCTCTCACTAGCGCCGTCTCCAATAACAGCGGCAGCAGCAGTGGAAGCGTTTAGAATGCAGGAACAGGCTACACACCGGGACTTTTGGAAACTTGCAGAGCCTGAGGCTGGAGTACCAAGGGTAGCAGCGGCAGAGACGCTCACTCGGCTCTTCTCATGCCCAACCAGCCGCTTGGGATTAAACGAAAATGCACCGTGCAGCGCTCCCAGGTACCTCAAAATGTTTTTTTTACCCTGTTGCAGGGACAGGGATGGGGGCAAAGCGGGAGCGACTCACTGTTGTTGGAGAGGGCACTGGCGAGAGGAACTGTAGAAGCTACGGAGGCCCGAGAAGTGGCTGAAACGCTGCCAGCAGACATCCATGCTGTCCGCCCACTGACCCGGGTCTGCAGCAAAGATACTTGGCAGGGGTAGGGAGCCCTCCGTACTCCGCCATGATTGGCCATTAGGAGTGGCTGGTGGTGAGGCGTGGCTGCCCTTAGGGTGCTCTAGGTGTGGAGGGGGGAATTCACCCCCGACAAGACATCCTAGTCGTTTTGGGGGGCTCAAAAAAATAATAATCCAGCCTTATATGAGAAACACGGTAGTATAAATGGCTTCAACATACTTGGGTTTTGATCAACATTACAGCTTAGCGTAAGATCCATGAGGTATTAACTATAACCTGATAACTTACCTGGTTAAGATAGGGATAGTAATCCATCATATCCAGAAGACACTGGGTTGGACATAGTTGATTTAAGATTTAGTTAAAAGTGGCTGTAAACATAGTGTTAAACAACAACCACGTGTTGTGAAAATTATATGACAGCATACAGGAAGACTTCATACTTTTCTCAAATGTGATTCATGACAGCAATGATGCCTTGAAAATGGTATTCATTTATGGCCTGAGGCATCTCTTAAAACTGGAGAAGGTGAAGTTTCTTAAGTGGTAAAGGTAGTAAAATACTTAGGCGTACCACAGAACTGAAAACTAGTATGATTAGTTTTTTTGTCAAAGGGAGCTGTAATATTTATTTCTTGAACAGCAGCATTCCAATCATACAAGAGAAGTTGTCTTTCCCAGAGTCATTCAGATTACAGGATTTTGCAGATAACTTCTGAGTACAGGTAGTCCTCAACTTAACAGCAGTCATTTAGCAACCTGTTATAACCAAACCAAAATAGGGGACTTATGACCCAGATTCGATGTTCCACCCAGTAGGCCTTTTTCTTGGTCATGTGATTGGATTTCAGGCACTCAGTAACGGCTACATTTATGGCCATTTGCAGCATAGCAATAGCACTTGGACTTACATACCACTTCACAGTGCTTTACTGCTCTAAATGGTTGAATGTCAGCACATTGCCTCCAACAATCTGGGTCTTATTTCCCTGACCTCAGAAGGATGGAAGACTCAGTCAACCTTGAGCCAATCAGAATTGAACTGCCAAACTGCTGACAGATGGCAATCAGCAGTAGTAGTTTGCAGTACTGCATTCTAACCACTGCCACCACAGTAGTTGCATTACTGTCTTATCGCTGCTTTGCTGAAAACTGCCACGTCTCATTTTCTGTGCAAAACCACACCATAACAAACTCCATTACGGTTGTATATCAATGACTACCTGTAAGAACTTGATAACTAAGGATTTTTCTTAGGTTGGAGGAACAAGTGATGTTGAAGTTAATGAAAAGAAAGACAGAGTCACTGATGCCCTGAATGCCACTCGTGCTGCTGTAGAAGAAGGCATAGTCCTAGGTGGTGGCTGTGCATTGCTCCGTTGTATTCCAGCACTAGATGCTTTGACTCCAGCCAATGAAGATCAAAAAACTGGTAAGTTAATACCAGTTACTATAACACTTACTTGGACACTTAGATTTGAGTAACTTCCAAATTTCCTATAGTGCACTCTCTTCTTCCCAGTGTAGTGGTCTTTTCTTACTTTCAGAAATTTACTCGCAACTATCCAGAGCTTGTTGAAAGCTGGAAAATAGATAAAAAGACTTCACAAAATTAACTTCCAGATTCAGACTGGAAATTTTATACCTGGAAATCTTCATTTGGAAAGATAGGCAATGTATCTGAATAATGGTCAGTGTTTGTTCCATCATCAGCAGTGAAATTACTGTAGCTCCCTTTTTATAATACCCAGAACTCATTCATTTTAGGCATAGAGATTGTAAGAAGAACACTGAAAATTCCAGCTATGACTATTGCCAAGAATGCAGGAGTTGAAGGATCCCTGATAGTTGAGAAAATCATGCAAAGCCCGCCTGATGTTGGTTATGATGCAATGCTTGGTGACTTCGTGAATATGATAGAAAAAGGCATTATTGACCCAACAAAGGTAAATACCGAATTTTCTAAAGATTATGTGATAGCACTCTTAGTGTTTCAATCTTTTACAGAAAACTCTTAATCCATTCATAGGTTGTGAGGACAGCGCTGATGGATGCTGCAGGAGTAGCTTCTCTTTTATCTACAGCTGAAGCAGTTGTAACTGAAATCCCCAAAGAAGAGAAGGATGCTGCTGCTGCTATGGGAGGAATGGGTGGAGGAATGGGAGGTGGTATGTTCTAAAATCTAGGCTACATGGATGCGTATCATGAACTACAGTACATGACCTGATAGTTTAAGAGAAGCTTGGGTCAGAGTCAGGAAGGATGGATAGTGACTGCAGAAAAAGTGTGTTTAAAAAAAAAGATCACTGTAACATTGTTACTGGATTTCAGTTGTATGATTGTTTAGTCATTGTCCATGCCTACAGATAATTTATTTTGTACTTTGAATAAAGACATTTGTACATTCCTGATACTGGGTGCAGATCCATGTACCAATCATCTTGTGCTCTGAACTTAAAACCAGTTGAAGCACTTGCAATTCTGCTAAATAAGACTTTATTGGTGCCTGCTGTCACTAAAAAATGCAGAAGCCATTGTGTGCAAGACTGAATAAAATTCTGTACAAAGTAGACAAATATACAATTATGTGACAACTTTCTGTAATAAAACAATTGCTCTAAGGTATGGTATGTATTAACTTATTCACAACATAATCTGTTCATCCCAAGTACTAAGTTTTCCAGGACAAGATTTTTTTTTGGATTTCAGAACCAACTAGCAATAACTACTTATTAAAGTCTATTACAGTGGTAAGTGCAGCAATATATAAAATTATAAAGATGTTAAATTCAAATACACTGTTTTAACTTAAACTATATTTACATATAGCTAATGCCAAAGTTACAGAAATCAACTTTGGCAAACAGTAGTATCCCTAATTTGTTTTCCAACTTTCTAAAGCAGATGGAGAGAATTATGGAGGAAGGTGGGGAATGTGCTTTGTTAGCACTGTCAGTTCTGCTGGTAGAAGAAAGCCATAAACCTCTAGGCATTATGGTTTGTCATTAACTGGAACATTTTTAAAGCTAGAGTTCATGATTATTCATAGAAGATCCCCTTATATATTTTACTACAGTACCATATTAAATGTACTGATGAAGCTGAGCCCTTTCTGTAGGATTCATACAGTTCACTAAAATACTGCATATTAAATTTGCTACCAAAGTTTACACACTAAAACTTTTTTTCCAGAACTGCACACTGCTTGTTAAAGCTAGTTTTGAATACTAAAAATAACTTAAATATGCATTTAAAATAATAACTTAAACTTATTTCAATAGTAAATATTAAACATTGTCAAAATAAGGTTATAGAACTGGTAACAGTGCTGAGTTTTATACATGCTGAAAAGATGAGAGGAGGCCATTGTAAATGTAGCTGCCACTCAATGAACTTACCAGCACCTTAGAATTGCACTTGATTGAAGCTTCTATGTACACCTGCATCTTACATGCATGTTTTATACAGTAGTATTATACATAATTGGCAAAAAATGCCCCATATAATTGGAAGCCCACATGAGAAAAAATCTCATGTAAAGATGGTGTCCAAGAAATTTCAAAACTACTTTATGTATGATGCACTTCATGAAGCATTAACTCTCGAGGTATTCTAGTTTCTGGACCATAGAGCTTGCCTGCTCTTCTTTCAAATGCAGCTACCATCTGTTTAACAACTTCATCAAAGAACAATGTGGCAAGCTGAGAATGCAGAAGGGAGCGAAACTCAAAAGAAATCTGTGAAGGAAAACAAATTATCACTCACCCCTAATGATTAAGATGAGTAGACAGTTGTTTTTATGTTGATCTATTGATCTATCCATATTGGCGAATAGTGGATAAGAAAATTAGGGCAATCATTTTCTGCTGCAATTTCAATCTAATATTTATAGATTATAGAGTTTTCTAGCCATGAATCATTTGTCTTCGTTAGCCTTAATTGCCATTCAGGTTGAGTGGTAGTTCTCAACCATATATATAGACAAAATTAGTACTACAGGACTTACAACAAAGTGACATTAATTTGTTTACTTCCCAGTTACGTAGTGCTCTGCACATAATACAATACTTTCCTAGTTACTTTGTCTTGTCTATCCCTTCTCCCACATAATCATTCTAGGTTTGCTATGTATTTCCAATTCAAAGTGCTTCATGGTCCTTTGGACACAGTAGGGGCATTCCAAAGATCCTGTCTGTAACTGAAAGCAGCTGTGCTTTCTAGAATTACACAGCTGTCTTGCCGTCCAATCCTAAATACCATTTAATTTAAGGAAGTGCCAACAGGTATTATGTGCATGCCTATATATGGTCACTTCTAAGGACCTTTTCTCTTTAGAATCAACTGTGGTGCACAGTTAAAAATGCCTAAGAAATATATCTCCATATAAGTAGGCTATATAATTATATTTAAATAAGTACACTGGTCCGCTGGTGCATTTTACTAGTCTTCTATATTCTAAAGAGTAACATTTGTCAATAATAGGCAATCATTTAGCCAGTGCTAACAATTTCCTGTTCAATACAACATTAAAGGTATAAAAAAAGCTAAGTTAGTCCTTGCTTAATGGTCATTCGGTGACCATTTGAATTTACAATGGCACTGAGCCCTGCAATATTACCATTTGCAATCTTCATTGCAATCTCCCAACAAGAAAAATCAATGGGGAAGCTGGCAGGTTTCAAATGACAACCATGTGATATCACACTTAATGATAGTGCAGGATTTGCTTAATGATAGCAATCAAATGCCATCACTAAGTGGTGTAGCATATTGTTTCACATAGAGTTACTGATGGTCACGTCCCAATTATCGTTAACTGAGAACTACCTGTATTTGGGAAAAACGTGAAAATACTTAAAGCAAAACTATTTGAATTAAATGCTATAAAAATATTGAAATGATAATGAAATTACTAGTGCTAGTGGAATAATTTATTCCATGCACATTAGGAATTGCTTGGAAATGAGCATTCTTCATTGCTTAAAAACAAATTCATTAAAGTTGGATTGCTGCAACTAAAAATTATGGCTCACAAAAGTAATTTTGCAATCATAATTAAAAGCAAACTACCCAGTCTGGCAGTGCTTAAGGTACTAAGCCAGAAAGTGGAGATCCTGCCTTAGGCACAAATCCAGTTGGATGACTTTGGACTCGTCACTTTCTTTCTATCCTAGGAAGCCACTTCCGTACCGTGCACAATAAAATACATATTTAAAATACTTATATAGGAATCAGATATACAGCAATCAGGTATGGTTTCAAAAATACATTTTTCTCTGATCTCAATAGTTTGGAAAGATTATTTTGGTACTTACTGAAAAATCCAAGGTGCATGTCCTTTGATAGCCAGGAATTCCTGGACTGAAGCGCCACACAGTTTCCAGATGATTAAATAATTTTCCATCTGTACATGATGCCTATGAAAAAATTTAAGTAAAATTTATTGCATTCAAAATTTGAACCCCAAAACGTCTTAATTTTGATACTTTGTGTATTATATGATCATCACCACAGTAACTTCAGAGGGGGAAAGTGTTTTTCAGCCTGGAGCAAAATTGAAAGTAACATTAATATTTTAAAAATTCCAAAATGATTGAGTTTTCTCTTAAAATAGTCCAGCTTCCTTTGAACATTGTAACTTTCTCAACAGTATTTTTTCACTTCTGCAAACACAAAGTGTTTTCTCAGGTAAAAGAGACCAACCCAACAACTGGCAAAATAATCAACAACTTGAAGATGTGTAATTTCTTAAAAAGTGTAATCTGGGTCCATGCAATTGCTTTGTTTATTTTAATTTCTTTTCTGGGACTTTTTTTAAAAAAAATTGTCTGAAGGATACATTTTGAAAAATGTACTTCATGTTGACCCAACTATAGCAATTACTTTACGGGAAAAACCTAATCTTAACAGTAATTCAAAAGAAGCTGAAGTATGCATTACAGAAAGAGCCTGGGGTTAAATAGAAAATATTCAATAAGTACAGAAGGGTACTAAAAAGCTGGTGGAAGAATTTTCCAGCTTCAGTCCCTTAGCACCAGTACTTAAGATAGGAGTGATATGATCTAAGATAGGCAGTACCAATTTCAGCAGACAATAGAAATTCAAACACAGAACTAGTTCAACCTGGTATAAGGCAGCAATGTATCTACACAGTCTATACAAGCAGAAAATGACATCAGGGGTAGGGGGTGGGCTTTTAGAAGATTGACAAGTTAGGAAACAAGATAAAGGTTTACTTTCAGACAAGCCACTTTTAGACAGCTTCAGGGTTGTAGGAAAATTGAATCAGTATTCAGATATTCATAAATTAAAAAAAACACTTTATTTATACTTTATGGACCATTTATTGGCTTTGCAGAAATAAAACAAGATACTTCTGTAATATTTAATGTACAGTTTTAAGACCAACTGTTGCATAATCTCAACAATTGTAATCTAAGGTGTGAGAGTGCAAAATTAAGTGTAAGCTATTTGCATAACTTTGGTAGGTAGCGATTCTGAGCAGTAGTGTAGTTTTGAATGTTTCATTCAGTAATGGGCAACCTAATTGTATCTTGCTGTTGGACTAGCTCTTTTTAATCTTTATTCAGTAGAGTTTATACCTACTAATCATGGCTTTTATGCTATGGCATGATCTCAGCACAATAAAAGATATTCTGGAGCAGCGGTTAGAATGCAGCATTGCAGGCAGGTCTAGGACAACTCACCACAGCCAATTTTCCATGGTCAATTCACTATGTGATAAGAGTTAAACCAATATCAGAAATGATGAACAGAATCATTAAAGAAGGGGTGGAAAAGGAGAACAAAATGAAATGACAAAAATGTTATCATTATTTTAAATAATTAAATTGAATGATTGTCCCATGGCAAGTTGTCCCATTCCATTGCAGGCTAACTGCCCACAGTCTGCAGTTCGATCCTCATGGGCTAGAGGCTGACTCAGCCTTCTATTCTTCTGAGGTCAGTAAAATGATGACCAGATTGTTGGAGGCAATCTATTGACATTAAACTGCTTAGAGAGTGCTATACAGCATCACAGGATGGTACATATTGCTATTGCTATTCTGGATCTAACTGCTGAAGTTGAGAGACCAAGGAACAAGAACTATGACTATTGCAAGAAGCTTGCAGTTGTGCTACTGTTGGAATTCATTCAAGCATTGGGGTTTTCTTCTTTAGTTTCAAGCAGTATAGGGCAGTGATCACCAACCAACAGGCCAGGAACCACTGGTGGTCCATGAGAAAATTTTGGTGGTCTGCAGAGAAATGTCACCCCCAAAACAAAACATTAATTAAAGGAATTAATCCAGGCTGCACGGGAACACAAGGCTTGCGTCGCTTGCATTATGAACAACACAAGGTAGTGAGGGGAGGGGGGGAAAGGGCGGATGGGGGGAAACTTGCCCCATTCATGCCACGCACCTCGACTGGCCACCTGTTCTGACCCAAGCCTCATTCCAAGCAAACAAAAACCAAGCAGAGATAAAAGCAAAACCTTTTTAATGCGTCTCTGAATTCTATTCATTACAGTAAAAACGCTATTAAAACTAATTGTCCCAGATAAGATCAAGGCTTGCCAAGGTTGTGCAAGGCTGCCAAGAACACTAGATTAAATTGCAAGGAAATATTCAAAACCAAAAGTCTCCAAACACAAACCAGGATAGCCCAAACTTCCAAGACTTGAAGTGCAAGAACTTCTTTGCTTTCTGCAAAGAATACCACTTCTGAGGGCTGGCTTTTATCCCTTAAGGGAGGGGCCATCACCTTGCAGCCTTACTCCCGAGATGCCAGTGCTGCTGCAGCTGCTCTTTCCTTCGAGCAACCCTGCACACATACACACTGGGCAGAGGCTCCTTGGGGTCCTCTGCATCACAGCTTCCAGCCTCTACAAGCTCCGAAGGCAGCACTCCACTCTCTGATAGCCCTGGCCCCATTCCTGCATCAAACACAGGCCCCTCATCCAAGTCCTCACTCTCCAAGACCTCAGCCATCTGCCCCTGCTGCTGGTGAACCACCAACACCACTGGGCTGCTTTCCGCTTCTTCTTTTGCTTTTGGCTGCACACAAGGAAAGCAGCAAAAGTCTTTCTTTCTCACCGGCAACCTCCACCAGAAATGAGTCTTTGGGACCCTGCAAGGCATCCTGCTCCAAGAGGCTGTACTGGCACGACAAGTCTCACAAAGACTCATTTCTGGCGGAGTTTGGGGGAGAGAAAGAAAGACTTCTGCTGCTTTCCTTGCACGAAGCCAAAAGTCTGTCTCTCTCTCCCTCCCTCCCCAAGAACGGAGCTGGACATGGTATCCAGTGATCCAAATAAAGAATGATCAATCGGTAGGAAAACGGGGTGGGGAATTTTTCCGCAGACTTTTTTGGGGATTTTCCCAGGGTTTCTGGTCCGCGGGATTTAAAATTATGAGTTTGGTGGTCCCTGAGATCCAAAAGGTTAGCGACCCCTGATATAGGGAGTTTAAAAGGACATTTCCATCCAGCCTCATATAAGAAAAATAAAGTCTACTTGTAAATTCAGAGGATTTAAAACTTCAGGTTTTCTTGGATGGATCTGATTTTTAGGTAGGTTTCAATTATTTTAGGTGTGGCTATAAAACAAGCTTTCAATGCTATTACTACAGCATCCTCCTAGATAGGTTATTTGAGCTGGGATGTAGTAGCACTGTACTATGGTGGTTTACTGCTACTTGAATGTCCAACTATGCTGGGGGATTACCATTCTGCATCATCACAATTGGGCTATATAGTTCCTTGGGGTTCCATTTTAGCTGCTAATGTTTAACATCTACAATTAGAGTAGGTCATCCATTGAGATGCCATCAATATGTGGAGATAGATACCCAACTCTACCTCTGATTTTCCTCTAGGAGAGGTAATTGCTTGGACAGGGTAAAGGAGTGGATGAGACTCAATAAACTGAGACTCAATACAGACAAGATTTGTTGATGGTGATTTTGTCCTGCTGGGTGGTACCCTGCCTGGCCTGGAGAGATCCACATTTACCCTTTAGGAGCATTTTTGAAGTTTGGAGGTGATTCTTGATCTATCATTGTCAGAAGCCCAAGTGGCCTCACTTGAACAGCTTTGACTAATTTATCAACCATGACCTTTTCCAAACAGCCTCGCAATGCTCTGGTAACTTTTTGGTTGAGTTATTGCAATGTACTGTATGTGGAGCTACTTTCAAAAACAGTCTAGAAATTTCATTTGGTTCAACATTAGAGTGGTTAGACTACTCACTGCACCTGGTTGATATGATTATGCCAATATTTCACCATCTACATTGACTGTCAGTTTATTTCTGGATCCAATGCAAAATACTGGCTTTTGACTTTTAAAGACTTCAAGGCCAGGGATCCTCAAACTACAGCCCACGGGCCAGATATGGCCTACCAAAGCAATTAATCCAGCCCACGTGGGAAAAAGCTGCCCTGCCCACATCGCCCCACCTACCCGGCAGCCCCCACCCGCCTTCTAGAGGGCGAGGCAAAAATGGGACACAGAGGCCGTGGGAGGCCATTTTTGGTCTCCCTGGTCTCCAAAGAGAGGGATGGGGGAAAAAGACACAAACACACACACACAAACAGAAGTCCCTCACATCCCCCCAAGGCAGCCACGTCCCTTCACTAACCTGCTTTCCACCCCCAGGTGCATAACAAAGTTCAATTTGTGTGTATTGTTTAATGGAATGCTAAATTGGCCATGCCCACCCAGTCACATGACCACTTAGCCACGCCCACTCAGCCAGTCCACCCCAACAGTCTGAGGGACCATGAATTGGCCCCTTGTTTAAAGGTTTGAGGACCCCTGCTTCAAGACTTAGGATCTGATTATCTGAAGGAGTACTTTCTGTAGTATGTACCTAAATTGGACCTTAAGATTTTCTGAGGCCCTCCAGATCACCCACCAAAAGAGGAAAGATGGGTTTCTACAAGGGAGGGCAATTTCTGAGGATGTTTCCCCCGTTAGACTCAACTTGCATTAATGTTATTTCAGTGTCACATAAAGTCCTTTTTAGTTTCACAGGCTTTTAAAACATTTCAATTATATTTTAACATATATTAATTCACATTGTTTTAGAATGTTATGACCCCCTAATCCAGGCTACCTGGATTATATGGTGTATTTATGTAGTATTTGATTTGACTGGATATGTAATAACTCATATTGTATTCTTTCTCTCTTTTGGTGTAAAACACTCTGATAGTTTTGACTATTGGGAATTTTAAAAATTTAAATAAATAAACAAACTACATATACACTGAATAAGTATACTGCTTACTTTTTACAGCAGACTTGCTACTAGAGCTTTCTCTCCACACCCTTTTCCAGTTTAGTGCTAGTTATATACATCGAAATATCTTCCCAAGTAATTCAGATTTACAAGGAGAAGACTACTCAGAAGGAGAGCCAGCCCAAGATTTCTTGGTCAAAACATGGCTAGATAAGATCCCCTACTGACTACTGGTAATTCTTGAAGTTCTCATATTCTATATTGAAAAGCATGGCAGTTTACATACAACAACAACAAATATGCATTACCTTAACCAAGTGAGGTCTGACTAGTGTAACAACTGATGTATATCTTTCCAACACAGGAGGAAATCCTACTTCTAATTTAGCTTTGCAGTATCCTGAACGTTTGGATAATATGTCTGATTTTTTGCACCAAGGAACAAAGTTCTTGTATTCGCTTACAACAGCTACCACATCATACATTTCTTGCATAGAATACCTAGTAAATAATGAAAAATGGAAAATACAGTTATTAGAGATATGCAGTTAAAATATATTTTATTTTTCTCCTTCCCTTTACCGTTCCAATCATTCTACAAACAAATATGGAATTTCAGCTAACTTTCTCACACAAGGTTATACTTCAAGGACACAATCCTCTTGTCACTCTAGTATTTAATTGCTCTGAAACTATTCATACTTTTCCTCTGCACAAGACTTAGTCCCGTGGATTTAGCAGAAGCCAATGTAATCCTGTGTATGCAATACTAGCCTTTAAAAGAATTCTTATTTTAATTATACCTCCTCTCAGCCTTGACTATTTCCTTATAATACAAGGATATTAAGGATTATTTAGAGTATTTTAATTCCAAAAATTAAACATAATGGGTGGAAAGTAGAAAATAGAAGCTAGTAATCAAAACTTTTGCAAATTGTGTTTGACTTCCTTGAAAAGGGAACGCTTTAAAAAAGATACAATAGTAGATCTTCTGCTGATTAAAGGGAATGGCAAACATTTGGGCCATAATTTTAACTCATTATTGTACATGGTCTTTGTTTTTATTCCCCAAAGCTATTAAAGAACCTTAAACCAATCTTCAGAGTGCATTAAAAAAGAAATTTGAGAAAAAATGAATTTGAGAGCTAAAGCAGGTAGTAAATAAGCATTAACTTTTAAAACTGTATATAGTTCATTTCTTTCATAAGCCAGTATGAGACTCTAAGGCAACATATTTAAAGTTGTGGACTGCACCCTGACCAGCTACCAGAAGAGTGCATCAATAGTAGAGGTAGTCTGTGAGCCAAGACCATAATAAAGCCTGCTCATCATATTCATAACTTGTGATGTTCATAAAGCAGGTTGGTCATGTGACTGAACTGAGTTTATGAACTTTTTAGGGGTGGTCATTAAATGAACCAATGGTTTAACTCCACTTTTCGACAAAACTTGTAAAACACAGTTATGTGACTATGGAACACTTAAAATAGTTGTAAATCTAGCCCAGTTGCCAAATGCCTGAAGTGTGGTCATGTCACTGCGGGGCAGAACTGTCATAACTTTGAATCAGGTTTTCAACACCTCCCAGGTAGGCACATTGGAACTATTAAGTTCCTGTCCTGCTATCCCTAATGCAATACAGATATACATACATTCACATACATCTCTGGAGAAAGTATAGCATTTTCTCCAACATCATGTGACGGGGCTGCTTCAACAATGTTGACAAACCTACCCAAAATATATTGCTAACTGATTGTATGGGATAATACACTATACTACATTGTATATACCACCATACCATATCATTATCTCAAGAAAAGGACAATATATCCCATTCATAAATAACTAACAATGATCTCAAACTAGAATTATGTTGTAAGCAAAGAACTATAAATCCTGTATTTGCTTCTGCAAATGTAGAGCTGCCATAAAAATTATATCCTGTGAACTTTAATCCTGTTTATATATAGGACTGTAAACTTCTCAGAGTGAATTAACAACAGTATATATTTAAAAAAAAACAAATTAAATAAAATTTAAGGAATGGTTAAATTAAAATGTGAAATTAAAGAATGAAATAGATAAGCATGAACTTTAACTATATAAACAATGTGAGCAAAGGCATTTGAAAATGAGAAAGACTATTCATCAATGCAATCCATTAGTATCTACTTCTGTGTAATTGTACAATGTATTTTTCTTATACAAACCCTATAATTCTTCTTTCTGAATATTCTTTCCTTTTGTTCACGAATGGTGCAGCAAAGTTGAAGTAAGTCCTTCTTGGAAAGGCACAATTTTTTGCTGGTATTTGTGGCAGTGGTGCTTTGCTCACCAATATTTCCCAAGAAGTCAAATGCCTGGAATGATTTAATTTTTTTCATCAGAACAGCATCTGGTTAACACAATACAGATGAGCCAACAAAATCAGAAAACAAATAAAGAGTAACACAAGGACAATCAGACTCAGGATTAGGTTAACTTTTTATGCCTTGGAGAAGCTAAATATATCTCAGTCATAAGAGAACCTGGCAACAGTACAATATAAAGGCTGTCCCTCTTAAAAGTTGGCTCTGAATCAATCTGAGGCCACACACTACTCAGTTCATATATTTGAAAAGCAAGTTTCCTGTCAGAATGGCAAGCATCAAATATATTGAGCCTTTCTTCTGGTTATAAAACATGACTCAAGTGGAAAGCTTAACGTATTAATTAATTAAAGTATTAATAAGAGTATTAATTTTTTCTCTTTTGGAGGGTCTTAGGTTTTCAGTGAGGATAGGGTATACAAATACAGACTGTTAGAATGATAACTACCTGATATATTTTAAAAGCCTTCTTCCTTTCAAATATTCTCTGGCACTTGGCAGCATATTCAGCAAGGCATGGGTCCTCTATTATAAATAGTTGTTCAGTTAACATTTTCTTCCATAGCCATATACTTCATTGAGAGAAATGCTGCTTGCTTAGATTTAGCTGTCTCTATATTTCTTGCTAATGGTAATCTTACAATAAAATATTATATCGACACAAAGTTCTGTTCCTGCAATAGCATTTCTACCAGAAGTTACTATATGTCTTTAAAACAGGAGCAGGAAACATTTTTCAGTTTGGGTCCTTGCCTTTCTGCCCTGACTGGAAGGTATTACACAAAACAAAATCTAAAAATTAGGATATTTTTTTTTTACAAATGTAAAGGAGGATTTTAAAGGTCAAATGGATGCTTTAAATCTTACTGAAATACAACAAATATAAGGACTTTTTAATATTTTCCCCTATTCATTCAGGGAAGGTCCTGGGGCTGTAACCAATTCACAAACCATAGGTTGCCAGGTTCTATTTTAAAAGAACTCTAGAACTCTTTCATTCAAAAAGAAATTGCAGGAACCCTAATCTTAAAAGCAAATCTGGATGGGCATGGAAAGGCTGCAAAGTGAAAGGAAAACCAACCATTTTCACTTCTGCTGACACACTGGAATCTGATTTGACAAGTTCACTCAGTTATCATATCTCATACCTTACTTCCTTCACAAATTGATTTAGAAGCATATAAGTAGTAATCTTATTGATTATATTAATTCTAAAATACTTGCAAAGGGTCAAGGAGAGGATGAGATTTAATTTATTCTCCTGATCTCAAAGATTCTAAATGTTATGCCCCAATCAATATTAAATATACTAGTATTCAAATATGCACTAAAATTATTCAAACATGTTGAAACTAAGAGTTTACCATATCCAATATTTAATCAGAGGTATATCATTTAACGTTGCTTCAAAAAGGCACTAGCGGCATTCCTAATTTCAACACAAAAATCAAATAGTGAAAATTATACAACTTAAAAGTAAAAGACAATAGTTTAATGTCATTTTAACTAATAAATTCAAACCATCTCTTTAGTATTCCTCTTAATTGCCTACACTATTGTTTGGAAAATTAAACAGAAACAACACTGACCAGAACAGCCAATAAACAAATTTGCCAGGCCAGTTTCCAAAGGAGGTAAAGCAAATAATTTAAAAGTGGTTTCATTTTTGCAGTTATTGAAGTTGTGAAACTCTTAACTAAATCAAAGGCTAAACTTTTATTTTCAATCACAAAAGTCTTGATCAATCTGAACTGTAACGTTAGAATCAAGAAGTCATAAGAGAAGTTAAAAATGGACTTGACCTTCCTCAATTAGCAAACAGTTTTATGTAGGAGTTTAAAGGATGTATTTCCTTGATCAAATGTAAGCATAACTATCTTTGAATCATACCACAAATAAGCATTCCAAATAATATTTTTTTCTGCTTCTGAGATTATGAATTATAATTCATAAATAAAAAGGAAAATTTTGCAGTAGAAAGAGGAATATATTTAGTAGGAAATGTTTACCCTAGCCTTCACTGTATCTCAAGTATCAGTTTTGGAAAAATGATGTCATCATGATGATTATATGATGTTATGTTTGTATCATTTTAGTCTCTGAGGAACAGCTGTAAATAATGTAGATAAATTAACAGTAGCAAGAAGCACTTACTCCATTTCATTGAAGATAAGTAATTCTAATGACTGAAAATGTAGATTACTATCTAGTTTAAGAGGGTGTATGTGTCTAGTTTAAGAGGATGTTCAGGAAGAGATAATATCTCTGGTGGAGGGGCCCTTTTTAGGACTGATTGTTCACCTTTGATACCCATCTTGGGATGGGGACAAACAATAAACAAGAGTTTGCATGCAACTCACTGTTGTTATCCAAACAAAGAAAATACTAATTATACCCATCTCATTTGTAGACATAAATAGGACACTAAGATAGAAATTTTTAAATGCTGCAATTTAAAAGAACCTGAAAATGTGAGTTGTATACTTTATTCATCTTTAATTCAAGCATATATTATCCCAATTGTGATTGTAGTGTTTTTAAATGTTGACTTTCATATATATATACTGATTATAATATATTAAGTTATGAATTACCGGAAACACAGGAAAAGTGAAGATCATTACTGTCTTCATGTGTGCCAATGCACACAGCAGGAGTAGATAGAAGAAAAATATAAAATTACTGAGACTTAAGTTGCTCAGTAAAAATGGGAAAGTATGGTATATTCTAAGATTACATATAAAATAACACTCTCAAAATATCAATTACTATATTTTACCATTCTAAATCATAAACCATTAATATCTGAAATATCAATCTTCTAATTTTGTTACAATGCAAAAAATAAAATTTTGTTCTTCAAGACAACCACTGTGTTTTCCAAACTTTGTGTTGAGATGAGAAATACCTAATGGAGAGATTAATACAACATTTTATGAACAGATAAAATCTTGAGAAATGGGAACATCCATACCATCATCAATCAAAACACAGGTGAGTAAGAAAATATCTTTACTTTGATAAAAGACTTAAAATAGCAAACTTTCCCCTATCTTACCAGAGTAATCTGATATGGAAAGAATTGCTGCTTTACTTTGCTAAAGTATTCTAATGTGTGTGTTTTTTTCCAGGTGCTAGATAGGTTTTAGGACTAATTTCCCAAAGTATTATGATTAACAAGTATAAGGAAAGCAAGTGAGAAAGTGTGATTAAAGCTAATATTTTTTCTTCAATTGTTAAAATCATTAATCATTACCAGACTCAAAAGATTAAATTTGCATACTCCAGATTAAATTTGCATACTGAATTACAGATTGTCAGGTATTTCAATGCAGGACATTACATAATGTTTTCCCTGCCAACTGACCCACCTAATTCTTACAACTGACAGAGAGCAAAGTGAGACTTAGCATATATGGAATAATTTATAGGAGGAAGAATCAATAAGTAAGAGTCCAAAAATCTGGAGCAACCATCAGTTCAGCCATATATTGAATGTGTCCAATAGCCTAGTAGAGTTATACCATATGTAGCCAGCTAAGAAAAGGCATACAATACTTATTCATCCAATAAGAAAAATAAGAAATGCCCCTTTCCCCGTGCTATTCATTTAGAGGTGCATGGAGAGTCTAAAGATTATGCCAACACTCTCTCAATGCTGGTCTGGCTTACAGTTCCTAACTACATATTAAATGGACACAGCAAAACAAAACAAAAAAGAAATTTAAGCAAGTCAAAGTTACAGATAAGAAAGTTAGAGATATAACTTTGGCTACTGTTTTCCTATTAATAAATATCATAAAAAATCAATTTGATGTAATTCTCTTGATGGCTGACTAGCTAACACAGAGTTAAGTATCTGCTCTTGATAATCAAGGCAGTTATAATACATACAGCCTTTACTTCTTTCAAATATAACACTTTTCAATATGAATTATTACCCTTGACCGAAAGTATGCATTTTCTAATATATTCCTTATCATTTTCAAGTCAGGGATTTGAAGGGTGGATAGAGTTTTTAAAATATCTAATGTTTTGGAAAAATATGAAGGTGTTAAAAGGCTCCAAAGAGCAAGAGCTGAAGGACAATATTATGTATTTATTCTGCTTTAGAATACTGTTGCTAGCATACAACAATATACAAGTGTAAATAGCCAGGTACTTCATAGGTAATTGGATTGAAAGAAGTAAAAAGGAACTCTACAAAAAAGATACATCATTTAGACCAGTTCAAACTTAGAAGACTTAGGGAAGATGGAATTTTTGTCCCTTTATCAGTGAAAGGCTAAAATGATGAACTAAACTTAGCATGAACATGTATTAAAATATATAATGTAATTCCCTTATAACATTTATGAGACATATGCATACTAATAGCACAGTTGACTAAAAAATAGATGACTGCCCCTAAGACCACTGATACTTTCTACAATTAATCAAGAAATTAAATGTCATAGGGATAGAGAAGATATCCAATCTGTTCTATTACAAAAGTGTTTATTAATATTAGTACATTTTAGCTGGAAATCAACAATAATCTGTCATGGCAAACAACGAAAGTCTTTTTTCACTTCTGTTCTACCCATCACTCATTATAATAAAGATGGCTATTAAATTGACAAAATTAGGTATAGGAGCATAAGATGAATGATCTCTATAAAGGCCCGAGGGTTGCCCATCTGTGGATAAAAAAAAAAAGCTGGTCTCCCGGCCTTCTATTCTGGATCAAGGGCAGAAGGTGGGGGGGAGAGGGGCATCAAGCTCATCAGGAGCTCCCCAATCGCGGATCCTGTGGCTTTTTCCGAGCTGGTGGACGAAGTCCCAGGAAGGCAACCGCGCCTCGGTGGGACAATCGAAGCGGGCAGGAACTCTTTGACAGTGACGGGTGGAGAAGGAAAAAACGAAGACGACGGGAACCACCCTAGGCGCTCGTGACCAGGGTAAGCAGTCTCGGAAACCGCCGGCGGCAGCAGACCCGTTTAGCCGCCCACTCAATCTATGGGACGCCCACCAAACTTTCCTGCCCAAGCCGAGAAAAGTGGCGGGTGGCTGGGATCTTGGGGTGAGGGTGTCTCCAGCCAACCTGAGCTCCCTCTCGCCGTACCTGAGGGCTACTCTACGCGAAGGCACTGCCAACCTCTCCACGAGAGCCTTGCCAAGAGCCCGACTGCTCCGCGCCATATTCGACTTTCGGCGGCGCCTCCAGCCGCCCTCACTGCCCCATCCTACTCTGACTCCCTCCGCCACCGCCGCGCCTCAACGGCCTCCCAATACCTGTCCACACCTCCCTCCCAGATGCAGAGCCAATCGCGTGCGAGAGGCACCTAACGCTAGCCTATCAGCGCAGAGTTCTATCCAAACGTCAGCCTTCGGATTTCACCGCCTCCTTAGATACTATGGTCTACTCCTTACTCTCTTCCTTTCGGCCCCAGCACGTGATTTACCGGACTCGCGCAGGAGATAGAGTTCAGGGCGTCGGGGCCGCGCCCGATCACAAGACTTGTTACCGGGGTTATACGAGGCCCTCGGGTTCGTGAATGTTACAATTGGCGCGCGATTGGCTATACGAAATGCCACTCGCTCGCCCTTTTCAGCGACGTAGCTTGAAATGCCAGTAATATTAGAAAGGCATGCAGAGAATTTCCTTGTTATTCTTCCTCCTATTTAAATCATTTCTTGGTAGCAAAATCGCTCTTAAGGAAAAAGCTGCTGGGTTTGACAACATGGCTTCTGCTTTCTTTTTCCACTGAGGAGAACTAAAGACAATATTTTGTTTCCCGGTTGACAACACAAACTAGTGGGCTGTGTTAACCAGTAGTTAAGGGGTTCAACTATGGAGTCTTTGGAACCCTCTCAGCTAGTTTTCCTTTTCATTATCCAACTAACATCTTCAGTTAGCCAGGAAATGTCAGAGGAGTTGGGAAAACCCAGGAAGCTCAGGCGAATTTCACCAAAACAAGGTGTATTTTTTTTAGAATAAAATGAGATGGAAGGGACCTTGGAGTTGGAGGTCTTCTAGTCCAGCCCTCCTGCTGAAGCAAGAGAACCCAGTGGTAGGCTTCAAATTTTTTTACTACCGGTTCTGTGGGCGTGGCTTGGTGGGCATGGCAGGGGAAGGATACTGTAAAATCCCCATTCTCCTCCCACCCCACTAACCTGCTTTCCAGCTCCGTTCTCCTGTGCAGGGCAACAAAAGAAGACCCAGCCAATCAACTGGGACTTGGGAGGCAGAGAATAGATGGGGGCAGGGCCAGTCAGAGGTGGTATTTGCTGGTTCTCAAAATTTCTACTACCGGTTCTCCAGAACTGGTCAGAACCTGCTGAATACCATCTCTGGGAAAACCTATACCATTTCAGATATATGACTATCTACACTCTTCTTAAAAACATCCAGTGATGGAGTGCTCACAATTTCTAGAGGCAAGCTGTTCCACTGGTTAATTGTCCTTGCTGTTAGGAAGTTTCTCCTTAATTTCATGTTGCTTTTCTCTGTCACAGAAGATTTCAGCAATCGCAAGGCTGTCAAACTCGTGGCCTGCAGGCCAGATATGTTACATACTTGCCACCCCATGCCCAGTTTGGCGATGGGGGGCAAAGTCACTATGTCAGGTGATGCCACCATGATGACGCAAGTTTGACACCCCTGAACTATTGGAAATGATTAGAATTGATAAGAGTGACTAGCCAAGCCTTGTGCTCTTGAAGTAAGTTGTACAGTGGTGTCATTCCCCTAGAGGAGGGGCATCAGCCTGTTAATAGAAAAGCCTTCATGTTTTCTGTATGTCTTTGCTGTTTATTCGTGGTCTTGAGTTTTGCAGCCAGGATGTGGTACTGTATTCTCCACCCCACACTTGCTCACATCCTTTCCACATAATTATAGGTAACCTAGAAGTTCAAACAGAATCAGGAGAGAGAACTAAGAAAAAAGTGCACTTGCGTATAGTTGATAACCCCTGGTCTGTAACTCTCCAAACCAGGCATCATTCTGTTCTATACCATACCATTCAAGTCTCTGCACTCTTTTCAAAATAAAATGTGATTAAATGGTTGCAACTGTCCCTAATTCAAGGATACCAAAGTCAAATAAGAAGATATTTGTTAGTCACATGATCTTGTTAATACTGAAAAACATTTCTGCTTAAGCAGGCTCATCTGTTCTATATTTAGCAATAAATTTTACTGTATTTAGCAACAAGCATTATTGTAATTCAACTCTTCACAAAACAGGGAATTTATGCAAGCATAAATTAGGTTTCCATACGTGGGCTTCAAAAATCCAGATACAGTAGAACCTCTGGTCATGACCACAATTTGTTCAATAACTTTGGTCGCAACCCAATTTGGTTGTTACCCAATCCTAATTTTGGAAATTTGGTGTTTACAAAAAAAAAAAAAAAAATGGCACGGAAGGGGAAGTCGGCAAAAAAAGAAAAAAAACTATGATTTTTTTTTTGTCCTAATTACTACATGGCAACAGAGAGAGTTTCCTGTCACCTAGTGTTTATCTGGATTTTTACAACCTAGATACAATAGCCCTAAAGGGAAAACATACTCACATGGGATTTTTCCATTGAAGAATCAAGCCTTAATAGAGACAAAAATCTGTTAGAATGGGGGTCCCCAACCCTTGAACTGTGGCCCACTACTGGGTTGTGGCCTATTCAGAACTGAACTGCGTGATAGCCAGGCCAGTGTGCATAGCTCCACTTGTGTAAGCGGTGGCCCAGCACACATGCACATGTGTAGCAGCCTGCTTATTGTGTGGGTGAAGCTGCACGCGCATCAACCTGCTGGTTTCCTTCTTCCCCCCAACCAGATAGACCATTAAGCTGCAAAAGTTGGGGACCACTGTGTTAAAGATCTAAATTGTTTTGCATTTTCCTTAATATCAGAAACGTTATGTTACTAATATTAGTTTAGTAAGCCAGATTGTAATTAGTCTCATAATATATCATCTGTCCTCCCTTTTTATGAGCCTGTAATCCCTTAATTTGGGGTAGAGGTAGGGGCAACTGGATGGAGCTATGTATTTACTGGCCCGTCCTGAAGCCATGCGGAGTTCACAGCAAATATTTTTTCTTTGCACCCAAGGAGAGAAACATCTGCCATCACCTAGAATTAAACTCTCAATCTTCCGAGTGGGAAGCAAGTATCTTCACCACTAGGCCACCACACCACTCATCCATCCATCCATCCATCCAGTCTGATTTCCTCCAGTTGAGCTTGTGCTGCAACAAGCCATTCACATTCTTCCTGACACTTGCCACGACCCCGTGCACTCTCTCCAACTCGTATGACACTTCTTACACACTCCTTGCACCCTGCATGATCTGTGCAGTGTTCTTGCATCCCCAAACCACACAGCACTTCATCCCCATAATTTAGCAATCTGCACTGCACTTCCATGCACCCTTCTTGACCCATTCAGCACCTCTTATGCACAACATGTGGCCTCCCTGAGCTGCAGCACACCTACAGCAAGATTTGAATTTTAAATACCATTATTTAAAATGTGAGTTGGATATAAATTTAAACTCCATTACCCACGTTCTGAGAAGTATCAAGTCCACATAATCTTATGTAGCATGCCTATAAGTTTCTGTGATTTCTGTTGCTTACAGTTGATTGTGGGGGGAAAAATACCCAAAATGGCCATGAATAAAATCCTATCCTATTTATTGAAATTAGTTTGCTCTAAGCAAACTTAACAGCATACAACCTACTGAAATTATGATGTTCATATTTGGAACCAAGGTACAAGGCAGCATTTCCCACCATATTTTTATTATGACCACATAATGCTATGGCTTCTTAAACTATTATTCAATATAATCCCAATAATGTCTGCTAAAGCCTGTCTGAATGACTCCAGAATTTCTATACACTTTATTACTGTCAACTGCAAACATCAAAAAGCATCAAAAATTAGACTACTAGCTAATGGTTCAAGCTGTTAATTATTGAAGAATGTAAGAAGAAAAATGCCTTCATTAAAATGCAATTAAAACAAAAGGTGAGTTCCTATTCCCCTGACACAAACAGCAAATTTGTTTTATTAAAGGTAGGTGTTTCATATCTACTTTTGTATTGTAATTTATAATCCAATCTAAGATACATCTGCTCTTAAGACCACCTCCCAATTCAAAAAACATTACGTTCCAAATAAACATGCTCATTAAATCAATACTATTTTTCTACATATAATTAAATGTGACAGACTGCATACTTTCAACAGAAGTGCTTTGGACCATGTACAGTTATTGCTTTCAGTTAAGCAGCCTGAATTTTTTATGAGTGCACCACAAGCTTGAAAAAAGGCATAGCTTCTTTAAACAAACAGTTTAAAAAGGTTATAGCATATGCTCACATATCAAACTTACTAAAATATTAAATATACGTTGCAACAGTTTGTTATATGCTTTATTTTTCATGATTAAAAATAAAATGTACAAAGTGCATTATATTACGAAGGAAAACTAAAATGTTCCCTGGGGTTAACACAAATTTTTATGTGTTAAACTCAGCATTTATTACCACTGCAGATCTTTGTTACAGGGATAATACAAGCAATATATACAGCTACTTTTACATATAATGTCAATGTAATTTGCTCAATTAAACATGAGAGCTAAAATTCCATGTGTTTTGCAACTTCTATCCAGAATTGGACTATCTGGATGTCTGTGTTGTCCAGGAAATTGTATATAGATTTTTCCAGATTTTTCTGTTCCAGATTGAGATTGAAAAAATACAAAACTTAAAGGAAACAGCATTAAAAAAAAATAAGACCACTAAATGATTTAGGGGTAAACCAGACTGAACATGGTGACCGGACACTTATCAGAGCTCACACCAGCCAGAGAATAGAAAAACTCAAATATTGTAAGATCAGAAGATATAGAGAGCCCCAGCCCATAGAATCAGTGGTGGGATTCAAAAAAATTCACTATTGGTTCTGTGGGCATGGCTTGGTAAACGTGACAGGGGAAGGATACTGTAAACTCTCCATTCCCTCTCCACTCCTGGGGGAAGGTTACTGCAAAATCCCATTCTCTCCCTACCCCACTAACCTGCTTTCCAGCTCCGTTCTCCTGTGCAGGGCAACAAAAGAAGACGCAGCCAATTGAGAGGAAAAGAATAGATGGGACGGGGCCAGTCAGAGGTGGTATTTACTGGTTCTCCAAACTACTCAAAATTTCCGCTACCGGTTCTCCAGAACTGAACTGAACCTGC